CAATTTTGGCTGGGCGCACGCGTTCGCACGCGTGCTGGTGTTCGGGAATAGCGGCTTCTTAGTGAATTGGGTGGAATAATTTGGCTCTAGCTCGTAAGCAGTCGTACGCAAATGTTTCTCTGAAACAGTTGGATAACTATGGAAGTTTAATAGTGATTGAAATTTCCCCTGCAGATACTTAGATAGACGTTATCACCAATTCCAAACTAATACATACTCGGCAGTGTCTAGTGTTGTTAGCTGAGCCTGTTAAAGTACTCCCCCTCCTCTCTCTCGTTCCCTCCTTTTCTTTCTCTCTGTCTCTCTCCCCTGGTCGTAAATAAGAAAGCAACAAATCACCACCAAAGGGGCCTAACGGAGTGAGTAAATTGCACATGGCGTGGCGTGCGCTGGGTGCGGGGGTGTTCCCCGGGTGTTCCACCTGGGGGTGTTCCATCAAGGGGCGTGGTGCGCTCGGACATGAGTTCATTAAGCACGCCTGTCCGTTCCGATGAGGCAAGCCACGTCCCTAATGGTGATGCACGTACTGCGCTTGAGTTCTAAAATCATAACTGTGACTCGAAAGTGACCGCGTACAGTTTGTCGCGTTTCGATTCCTAAAACACGCGCCTGGGCCATGACCAGGATGCAATGAACAAGGATGCCTTACAGGAGGAATCACTTGGTGGAGAGGAAATGAAATAATCAGTAAGCAAAGGGTTAGTTGGCGGCAGGCGTGCCTGCCGGAGGGGCGGCGTGAGGCATGGTTCCAGCATATTGCGAATATATGTATATGTTGTGTATGTGAGAGAGCGAGACAGTGTGTGTGTGAGAGAGAGAGAGAAAGAGTATGTCTGTGTATATGTTGGTCGTGCATGGCCAATAGCTTTAATTGTGTTCCTGGCTCAGCATTATACGAGGCTCCCTTATGAACGCCCATTTAAATTATGTGTCTCATGTAGACACAAGGCAGTGGTACGTAGTTGTTAATTTTAAGCGGGGAAAATAACTAAACGTAAACAATAACATATGGTACCATAGTTAGAATGATCTTACCACCATTTCAGATGTTGTATAAATAAATAGAACAACGAAACAACGAACTGGAAAAGCGTTGATTTCGAACGGCCCCCCCCGCCCTGCGTCCCTGTCCGTCTCTCTTTCCCGTTTCTTCCACCGTTCACCTTTCTCGACCTGTAGTTTGTGTGGGTTTGTGTTGGTTTGTTTCTTAGAGCGAAGTAGTAGTGTTTTCATGACTTTTCCAACGGCTTTCTTTATTTCGGGCCTGTGTGCAGTGTGTGCTTTGCAAACGGGACAAGCAGGCACGAGTGCGACGGGGTCCGGGCGGGGCGGGGCGGGAGCGTGTGGGTGGGCTGCATGCCATCGCATTGGTTTGTTTTGCTGCACCGGGACCCGGAGCCTCCGCTGGACGCTGCGGCCTCTCGCTGCCCCCGTCGTGGATGCACCGGCCGGCCGGCAATGCATGCACATGCTGGGGCTGGAGCCACTGGCTATGGAGCCGTGTGACTCACCTGCAGATCGGGCGCGGGATCCTCTCGTCAGATTTTGCAATCCTATCCACTTTATCGGCCTAGTATTGGCGTAGGCCGACGTGTCACCGGTAAAACTAAAACTGTCACCTCACGGAAAGGTATCACAATCAAGCTAACGAAACACACGCGCGAGGGAACGCAGAGGGAATAATATCCCGTCCCGTCAATCCCGCCGTAAAAGTGAGGAGAGAGGGGAGGGGGGGGGTTAGAAGGAGAGAGAGACAGAGAGAGAAGGTGAAGCGGAGGGAACATAGAGGAGCGGAGTGGCAATTAAGCCGTTCGACGACTCGTCAAATTAATTCACGGCGAGCGCGGGCCGGCCGCGCGGGGCGGGGCCAGACAATCAGGCCTATACCCTGCCCAGGACCCGTCCCCTGCAGTGCTTTTGGTTTCACACTGCTGACGTAAGACGAAATCCCCCGACGGATCAAAATCGCCATCATAGCCACCGAAAACTGTTTTGGCGTCGTCGCGGAGCGAAGCGTTGGACCATCGCGACCGCGCGTGACAGGCCCCTGCTGCTGCGCCATGCCATAATGATCGGGTGAACTATTTACATGGCGGTCTGGGGCCGGGCGGGGCGCCGGGCTCCAAAGTGCCTTTGATCGTGATGGCCGGGCCGTCTGCCTGCAGGCCCTGCTGCTCCGCTCCGCTCTGCGTGGACCGGACCGGGCCCGACCCGCGCGTACCGATAATCGAGCCAGCAGCGTTATTTGTTCAAACAATTAAAGTTGACTGCGGCCGTGCTGCATTGCCCCGGCCTGGGCCCCGCCTGCTCGACTGCCTCTTCGCAGGTGGTCCACCGCGCCACGCCAGGCCACGCCACGCCAGGCCACGCCACGCCCGAGCGGGACGGTAATATGAATGCAGTCGTGCTTATTTCGTTATTCCATGCGTGCACCAGACTCGGGCTCGAGCCGGCCCCTCGGTGGGGCCAAGGTGAGGACTTAATGGAGGTGGGTCCTGTCCTGGAGGACGAGGGAGGGCGCGAGGCCGCTGCGGCGCCGTGTTGGTCATCCGGAGCGCCTCCTGGGTGCCACCGGGCAGCCCTCTGGGGACGTGTCACCCGGCGAGCTTCGGGGTGCCACCGGGGTAGCTGTCGGGCGGGATGGGGGTTTCACCGCGCTGCCACTAGGTTGTCACCATGAGCTTCATCGAGGAGACTTGTGCAGATTTCATCGGGACTGTCAAGCGGAGCCGGGAATGTTACTCACAGTGGCTCTGCGAGTAAGCACGGTACTGACCCTCGTGCGTTTTATTTCACCATGTCAGTTTCCATGCAGTTATTTCTACTCTGTATAACGTGTACAGACAGCCCCATGGGGTCGTCAGACTAGCGAGGGCCTCACCCACCCACACACTCGGCGCCCGCCCTTAATAATCAGTTTTCCCATTTCGCTGGCAGGGCTCGTTAGTGTTAGCGGTGCAAGTTGGAGGTGGGAAAAGGAAGGGGAGGGGGAGAGACCCGGAGAAAATATTTTGCATGTAATGAGACAAGGCCACGGTAATGTGTGTTCGCTATTTGCGTATAGAAAGTGTCGGGTGGTGAAGCAGACTGACCTGGCCTGGGCCGACCAGCATCGGCACAGGGCTGCAGCATTTCTCATGAGAAAGGCTGATGTGTGTGTGTGTGTGGTGTGGAAAGGGGGAGGGGAGGGGGAGGTTCGCTAGTGATAAGGTCATGCAACTTTCCCAGCAGTCGCGCGGCCCTTCCCCACTCGTTCATTTGACTAAGAATAAGAATAAACAGTCGACAAACAGGCGCACTGACGAGAGCCGTATCCGTGTCAGAAAAATGGTGACGTGCGAACCGGAGGCAGCGTTGCATAAGCTTCGACTCCCTCGGCGTCGGGCTTTTGTCTCGGGCCGTGCCTCGTATCTGAGGGAAGAGAGAGAGAGAGGTGCGTGGTGCGTTCACCCGACGCTGCTGTGTGCCCCCGTGCCGCGCCCTATTGGCTGCCCAGACAAATAGCGCTGATTCTATTCAGGGTTGTTACAGACCGTGAAAGTCAGGGAAAGTCAGGGAAAGTCAGGAATTAGAAAATGGGTCAGGAAAAGTTAGGGAAAGTCAGGAAAATTGAGAGAGCAGTCAGTAAAATTTCTCCATTTGACTGCCTTCGTGCAAATGAATGAGGGAAAATGCGTAAAATTGACGCTCGAGCTGTGCACTGCCATGGCAGTGGCACTTGCGGGGCCCTGCCGGCGCAGCCAGTCGCCGCTTTTGTGCATACTCTTGTTTTTAGTGAAATTTTCCCTCCCGTTGTTCGGAATACTGCCTACTTTCTTGCCTAAAAAGTCAGTAAAAATCGGGATTTTGGTCAGGGATAAGTCAGGGAAAAGTCAGTAAAATTGAAAATCCAGAACCTGTAACAACCCTGCTATTATAATATGGAAATGGGTAGCTGGGCGGGGCAGAGCGAGAGAGAGGGGGAACGAGAGAGAGAAAGTGTGTGTGTAGAGCCTCTCATGCAGCTGCCAAGCCATTTGGGGAGAAACGATGAGCCAGCAAACGACGAGTAGAGGCTCTGAAAGCACAGCTGATTGTCCATGTACGTGAACTGGGTAACATACTTTTTGGGTCACGCTAAACGACACAGAGAGAGAGAGGTGGACGGAGCGTGACAAGAGGGAAACAGAACACCCAGGTGACGGATGCAGGATTAAAGCAGGAGACATGGGAGCAGATGATCGTAGGCTGCAGCCAGCTGGAGGGGAGCGGTGGACGGATGTGGAAGAAAGCAACAGTGACGACGTCCTGGTAGACTACGGGCCCAGGTGTGCCCTATGGAGATGCGTTGACTCGGGTGTCGAATGTCATGCACCTTCTCTCTCTCTTTCTCTGTCTCTCACTCTCTCTCTCTCTCTCTCTCTCTCTCTCTCTCTCTCTCTCTCTCTCTCTTTCTCTCTCGCTCAGGCGCTCACGCGTGCTCTGCGGTGTGTGGAGACACGTGCCGCGAGACCTACACACCGCAACGCATCTCCCCTTCCCTCGGCCACGCCTCCTTCCGGTGCGCCCCGGTCTGGACTGGACACTCGGGCTGTTGCCCCCCCCCCCCCCCCTCTCTGAGCGAGAGGAAGCTGTGACTCGTCCTCATCCTTTCCGAAGCCCCAGCTGTGCTTGGTTTTGTCCTGTGGCGTGGCCGTGCGTTGAATTTTGTTTGTGGCGCTGCTGATATTGCCTACACATTTTGCCCCTGACCACGGCGCCTTACGGGCCTAGCGAGTAGGCAACCTGCCCGCACTCGTGCGAGCGGTACAGTATAACTACAGAAGTGCACTTCTGAGCGGGGTAAACCAGCCACCTGGTACCTCCAGGTCAATTAATGGATGTCCACTAAACTTCTCCAGGTTCAGATTACTTATTTTCGGATAACCCTTTTTTCTTGTGTAGTAAAAGTAATGGCATGTCTGGTTTGGTGGTCCGCATACGATGTGATAGCATCCTGACGGCATTTGTCTCTGTTGCAGATGGACAACCCCGGCTACCAGCACGACGAGGCCGCGGGCAGCGTGCAACAGCGGCCGCTGCCGGGCACGCCGGGGGGCGCCGCCACCGCCGACAACTCCATCCCCATGTCGGGCACCGCGGCGCCGGGGCCGCAGCAGCCGCCGCACCAGCACCAGCCGCTGCACCAGCCGCTGTACCACGCGCTCCAGGACGGCAGGAGGGGCGCCTCCCCGCAGGAGGCCGCCGGCAGGAGGGCGCGCTCCCTCAGGGCGCCGCCGAGGAGGCCGCCGCCCAGCGAGGACGCCTCAGGCCGCTGCACGGTGAGGACCCGTGGGAGCAGGACCGGGAGCAAGGGCGGGGGCGGGAGCACCTTTCCCACAAACAAACTCCATACCGAGCAGAGTACCGACTCTGCCTCGCTCCGGATATGAACGTGTCCATTGATTGGAGAGGGGAGGCGGGGTACAAACCGATTGCGGTTTTGGTGCGAGATCTGCGGGGATATGGGCAGGTCGAGGGGGCTCCTGGCCGAGTGCGAGAGAGAGGAAGGGGGCAATTGAGATTGTGTGCCGGGATGGAGGGCACGACCATATTAGAGCTGGTGCATCATCATTACTCCGGCAGCGGTCATCGTCATTACATTATTTCACTTATAACGCAAACCGCACGGCGTTTTCGGGATACGCTGCTGCCTTGGGTCGGTAATGCCCCTCGGGCGCGTGTTGTGTGGAGCTCCCGGGGCCCCTGGGGCCCATCATATGGGGCTTGTGTGGGAAGCGCCGCCGGTGGTGCGGCAGAGCGGTTACGGGAGACCCCTGCCATCGCCAGCGCCAGACGAACGCCGCGAGCCCCCCTCGCCACCATGTTGCACTTTGCTGACAGCGCCTCGTCTCGTCTTTCAGCTCAACAACAGCCGGGTCTCGCTGGCGTCGTGGTCGCCCGGGCCTGACGGGCTCCTGCACGGCGCGGGGCGCAGCGCGGGCAGCTCGCCGGGATCTCCTGGCGGCCCCGTCCACCATCAGCTGCAGCACCCCGCGCACCCGCCGCACCACCTGCCGGGCAGCGCCCTGAGCACCCTGAGCGGCGCCCTGGCCGGCGCCACCGGCACCCTCACCAACCCCTCGGCGCTCAAGGTGCGGAGGAACTTCATCAGCAGCCCACCGGAGTACCAGGCGACCGCGCACCACCCGGGCCTGCTGCACCCGCCGCCGCCCGCCTGGGGCCAGCACAAGCTCCACCCGCTGCGGAACGCGCTCGCCTACCCGCTGCTGCAGGTGTGCAACAACCAGCTGCAGCTGCACCCGCACCTGGGCGAGGACGGGCTGGTCACCAAGAAGCCGTGCCGCTGCCCGCCCGAGGAGCCCGTGCACGAGTACTCGTCCATCCTGGGGCCGGCGCCACACAAGGCCGCCCTGGCCGCCTCCACCGAGCCGCTGTACTGGTCGCCCGTGCTCAAGCGGGCGGCCGGGGGCGGCGGCGCGGGCGCGGGGGTGGGCGGCGTCGGGGCGAGCGCGGCCCAGGGCAGTCACCCCGTCGGCGACGAGGGCACGCTCAAGAAGGGCTGGAGCGGCACGTCGCGCGTCTTCAAGTACATCGTGCAGCGGCGGGGCAGCTTGGGTGCGGGCGGCGGCGCGGGCGCGGGCCGCGGCTGGCGCTGCCTGCTCGCGCTGCTGGCCGCCGCGGCCGCCGCCGTGCTCCTCACCGCCGGGCTCGCCGCCTACCTCACCGACGGTAAGCACCACCCAAGCGACAACAACGAATTGCTTTTGGGTTATTGGTCGTGTACTAAAACTATAACTGTTTGTCTGCAGGTTTCGGCTTACTACGATCAACGGAAGCAGCCCTGCGAGGGAACGGTAAGTTTGTGCGACTAAGATAGCGACTCCTAGCCCCTCACCCCTTCCCCTCTCCCTCCCGGCCGAGGGCGCAAACAGTCCGCTGTCGTGACGACCAGCCGGAGCCGTCCGGCCGGTCGATGTACACCTCCCCTGACGTGAATGAGGCGAAGGGTGGAGGCGTGGTGTTGCGCGCGGTCAGGATGCCATTCACCCGCGCGCAGGCCGCCCCGCCCCGCCAAGACCGCCAAGACAGGCCCCGCGGGCACGTCGTGACCGGGCGCGTCCTCGCTATGGTCCTCCCCGTCGCTGTGCTGCTTCCCCTTGCCCGTCGAGTCCCTATGTCGGCCAGGTGTAGGGGCATGACTCAGACGAACAGCACCAACAGGACCCCTCCTGCACTAGGACGAGCACCGATGATCCCTGCGCCCCTCCGATGGGAAGGGCGCTCGCGGGGGACGCACCAGACATACCTCCGGGGATTAGTGCGCGTCGCGCCCGGGGAAGGGCTCAGCCACGCTCAGCTCGGGCCGGCGGCTCCCATGGCTCCCATGGTTTACGGCCTCCCGGCCCCGCCCAAGGGTCCCCACAGTGCCACCGGCTGCCATAAACGTCATGACGCTCGGTACGCGCGGTCACGGCCCGCACCATGGGAGCACTGCGACAGAAAAAAAAAGACATCCTTCCTGTGTGCGTATGTGTGTGTGTGCACGCGCGCCCAGCCTTTAACGGGCACCAACGCCGCTCGCTTTAATCTAATCTGCCGTTCTAATCTCGGACGGGCCTTACTGCACCTCGACTGCTGCGCTTCCGCTCGGCTCCGGTGTACGACATCCGGGGGCCGCTCGGCACACGTCTGGGCTCGCGCGGGGGGCCCGGGCCCGAGCAGGGCGGCAGGCCGGAGGCGGCCCAGGTGTGCCCAGGTGGCGCGCCGGGGCCGGGGCCGGTCTAGCCAGGTGCCGGCGGGGCTGCACGACGAGCCCCTTGGCTTCCTCGAGGAGCAGCTCGCCTCCAGCTCGCCCGCAGCTCGCGGCTCGCGGCTCGCGGCTCGGCGGCCGGTGCCGGTGCCGGAGCGCGCCCACGCCGCCGCGCCACACCCCCCGCCCACGAGGCCCGCCGCCGCCGCACCGGGTCGATCGTGGCCCCACCGCGCCTGCCGCGCCTCAGGACACCAACCGTGACCGTGACTGCAAAAAAAAGACAAAAAACAATAAAATGCCCGAATCAGAAACGAAAAAACAAAACAAAAAAATAATCGTTGGTGTCTGAAATGGCGTACGACGATTACGCGTGTAGCGTTACCTACCGGCCTCCTGGGACGACGGATGTAACTAACGCTTAGTCACCTGACTGCCGTGCCTGGTGCCTGCCGAGCCCCGGGCGGCCGACCGGTAGGCGGGGTCCTTTGTACCGACCCAGACCGCCTCATTAGCAGCAGAGCAGAGGGTGGAAGTGGAAACAGCCCAAATCAAATCATATCGTAGAGAACCGAGACGAGCCGGGCGCACCGGGAGTCAGCATGTTTTCGCCAAGCATCAAAACAGCAGTAATTTCAGACCCCAATTTCAAACCGCCGCCGCCGCCGCCGCCCAGGCAGCCTCCGCTCTTCCACTTACACTCGTTAGGAGATCGACCACAATCACCAACCACGAATTCTTGGGGAGTGCGGATTTTTTTGTCGGAGGACACATCTGTAGTAGGCCAGGACACTGGGAACTGAGGCGTTCGACTGCCGCGCACTTCAGTCACTAGTTGTAGGTGTCCGGTGCGGACTATACGTAACCTCGCGTAGTATACTGCAAATCCACTCCCGCTCTACCGAGCTCGAGCTAGCTCCCCGGCCCCGGACCATGGGGGGCGCAGGTGCAGGTGCAGGCGTGGTTGGTGCGGGTGGCGTGGCATTCCCGCGAAACGGCCGCAGAAGAAAAGGTCTCCCTGTTGCTGTGTGGGGTCCGCGGTTACGCCCCCCGAGGTGCGGCGCGCGGGGTGCGTTTGCAGGGAGCCGCAGCGCAGGGGGGCCCGGGGGAGGGGTGAGGGAGGAGAGGGGGGAGGGGGGGGGGAGACCCACCCGCGACCACACAGAGGCGATATGAATGGGGCCGTAAATGAATGGACGGGCGCAGCGGGCTGAATGGGTGGACCAGCCGAGCGGCCTGCGCCCAGCCTGCGCCGCCCGCACCCACTGAATGGGAGCCTGCTTCAGCGGGCGGGGGAGTTGTACCTGCCGCAGTCACATGGGCGCGCCCGGGCCGCCCGGGCTGTCCTACCTGTGGCCATTCCCGTCGGCCACGCCACGCCACGCCGGCGGGGCCAGGGCCAGGGGCGGCCTCGGACTGATGACTACTTTTCAAAAATTTTACGCTGCCTCGCCTCGGTTGCCCCCCCCC